ATTAAAATTATTTTATTCGACATGGTACAAAGAATATATATATATATACATATATATATAAACCGAATAACAGCAAATATATACTCAAACATGTTCCTCCCTTTATGAGTTGTTTTTTCCGTTCATGCTCCTACCGTCGAAGTATTTATTTCAATCAGTCGACAGAGGAAGTTCCCGTTTTTTTTTTTCGTGAAATCCCCCTCCCCCACAAAAATAAACATTTTTGTTACTAATAATAAGTTGTTGTTTTTCTCAGATTGACCCTTCAGCACATGCGAAGACTGACGGGGTGATGTTGAAATCGATATGAAATTTTAAGAATTCCAAAAAATTAATAATTTTCCTGTAATGTATTCTTGAAAATAAACATTTTGAGATATAATCTTTTTTTACGAATAACCTTTAGGAGATACAGAGCATGACAGAGATTGGGCTATTATATATATGTATATATAAATTTTCACTCACTCCTGCTCTATTCTGTGGGTTTGGGAAACCGAGGTTAGAATAAAGGAAATATTACTTACTATTGTAAATATCGCTGCAGAGATATTAATACCACCTTTACGACATTGCATCCTGCCCCATCTGTAACTTAACATGAAACATAGATATTAGAAGTAGCTTCTATGCATCTTATCTCCGTTGTTATCAAGAGTTCAAAAACTTGTTTCAGGTGACAACACAACCAGTTGAAGATAGATCCGTCCCTGCAAGATAACGCTCGATAACCAACTGAGATAACGTTTTCCACTTAATCTGGTTAACATGTAAATTCTGCAGTTTAGGCGTTACTAGTAAACAAAGATAATTCTAGTTTATCCTAGTCTTGATTTTGGTTTAAAACTATATAATGTATATATATATATAAATATAAAGTATAGTTACACACACAATCCTTGGAGCCTGATCTGGTATGAACCGTAAAATGTAGTTATATTCATAACCTTAAAACGTTATCCGATAGGAATGATAAAATGTAGTTGTACACACGATCCTTATAAGTTGATATGGTAACAACTATAAAAGGTAATTATACACATGACCCATTAAATGAGATGAGGTAAATAGGATAGTAGTAGAGGATCTATTAAAACCATCTTATTTAAATTGGGTTCTTGGTGTTAGATAAATAAATAAATATATATATATATATATAAATAAAAAAGTGTATTTTTTTAAAGCGCAAAGCTATACAATAGACTACCTGTGCTCTGGCCACCCGGGTATTGAAACCCGATTTTAAGTAGTATAAACCCTCAGACTTACTGCTCAGCCATTGTGAAGGGGGAGATACAAAATTATTATTAATAATAAAGTATAAAGTAAAAGTAATTGCCTTCTTGTGGTCCGTGGCTCGGAATTATGATTGGCACAATGCCTGGATAACGTGTTCATTGCCACACTATCTAATACTATAAAATACAGTTTGTATCTGTCTGGCTGTCTCTCGGTGATGCAATGATGTCATAGCAATTTATTACGTAATTTAAGTAATTTGTCTTCCTGTCAGTTGGAAGCGAGTAGTCTACGATTGATCGAAAGTTAAAGAGATATTTGGACTAAAATGTACAAAAAATTGCACCTTTTTCTCAATTTGAAAACGTACCTTTGTTAAATTGTCGAGTTACGCCAGAAAGGTCGTAAATATACTGTTGCGTCATCGAGATCACGTGACAATTCTCACGCTATCTTGTTTCTAGAACTATCATGTACTTTGGCGAATGTTCTACTTCTTGCT